CACTGTTGTTAATTGCGGTCTCTGCGTCGTTATGTGGCCAACAACACGCTACGCACCAGAGACTGCGGAAAGATTTACGGATTTACGGATTTAGGGTATAGGGTTTAGTCCACTCGTAGATGTACTACTGGCAATGCTACACAGACACAGATACAAAGCACTGGATCATCCATATCTAGGTTCAATTGAGGTTTTTAGGGTTTTAGGGTTTTAGAATTGACTGCTGAGTGCACTACTTGTTATTCTAAACAGAGATGTTGGTGGAGAGAGATGCGGATGTGAGGACACGCATGAATGGTAACGCAGTGCGCGACCTCGTCATCCATATCGCCACCTGGAATTTAGGTATGTGTATCAAAAACCCTAAAACCCTAGCATGTATAATAGGTACATCCGGGTGAGTTAGCATGGTTGTCATTGGATTGGGCTGCTCTAATTGAATGAGAAATGAGCTTGTACATCTGAGGAGTGACTATTGTAAGTATCATTTTCGCAACTTTGCCTAAAACACCTTCAGCGTACCTGACGCTATAACCACGCACAGATATAACGGATTATGGGCATGTGTAGATATGAATTGATGTCATATTATGAATCGGTTGCGTTTGATGTTTTGAGGTGTTTTCTCCGTTATCATGCGAAGCATTGAGTGTGCATTTAATATGTAATAGCGGAGATAAAGCTAAAACTGGACTAATAACAAGTGGGATTACTTACATGTATCGTTAGTTGTACAATGGAGTGACTAGTAACTAGTGGGATTACATACATGTATTGTCAGTTGTGAAGTGAAGTGACTAATAACAAGTGAGGTTACGTACATGTATCGTTAGTCGTACAATGAAGTGACTAATAACAAGTGAGATTACATACATGTATCGTTAGTTGTACAAGGAAGTGACTAACAACAAGTGGGATTACATATATGTATCGTTAGTTGTACAATGAAGTGACTAATAACAAGTGGGATTACAGAGATGTATCGTCAGTTGTGCTGTTGATCACTGGGCTGTTTGTATCGTTTGTGTTGTGTTATCGTTCATTGGTTTGTGTTTACCACCCTTTCTTCTGTCGTAGGTAATGCTCGACCACCCGATGACCTTGAGGCGTGGGCTGCCCCCGACAAAGGCTGTGACATCATTGCGGTGGGTGTGCAAGAGAGTGTGTACGAAGACGACAAGGAGCAACTACTAACCAAGCTCACCGTCGCATGTGGCGATCGCTATGTCTTCCTCTCACGCACGGGGATGTTCTCGTCTGCGAGCCATAAAATACCCAAAAAGGTACACGCGCGGCCCTTTTCTTCGCTGGACAGGTGCACGAGTGTAATGTATGGTGTTTCGGTTAGTCTTAGTCATTTGTTGTGTGGGAATAGTCCATAGAAAGGTACACGCGCGGCCCTTTTCTTGGCTGGACAGGTGCACAAGTGTACTGTATGGTGTTTCGTGTAGTCTTAGACATTTGTTGTGTGGGAATGATCTATAGAAAGGTACACGCGGGGCGCTTTTATTGGCTGGTCAAGTGCACAAGTGTACTGTATAGTGTTTCGGTTAGTCTTGGTCATTTGTTGTGTGGGATGATCCATATAAAGGTACACGCGCGGCCCTTTTCTTGACTTGTCAGGTGCACAAGTGTAGTGTATGGTGTTTCGGTTAGTCTTGGTCATTTGTTGCGTGGGAAAATTCCATAGAAAGGTACACGCGCGGTCTTTTTCTTGGCTGGTCAGGTGCACAAGTGCACTGTATGGTGTTTCACCGTTACGCTTGTCAGAGGTAACTTATATACTTCTTATACCTATACCTTCTGTTTCTGTATAAATAGTATCTGTGTGGTCTGTGACGTTTGTCGTGTACCAACGTACCTACTGAATAGTCTCTGCGCCCATTGGCCCTCCACCGCAGGGCCGACAATACGCCGACAATATCAAACTATTCATATTCATCAGCAGAGAGCATATAGGACATATAGTCAAACTGACTAAGGTATGGGTGTGTGCCAAGGCATGGGGTTCGGGTTTAGGGTTTTGGGGGTTTAAAAGCCTAAACATATCGGGTATGGTGAGTGTGCTACTATTGCATGTGTATGATTATGGGTATAGTGAGTGTGGTTTTGCCCAGACTGTAAAGCTATGATAGTTTTTCAATAATCGACTCTGCCCCAAGAGAGCGTCAGGGGTTGTTCCTGATATCGTAGTTGTTCAGAAGACAATGCTGTAGGGTTTAGGGTTTTTGGGTTTAGGGTTTGCGGAGACCTTAAAATAGTTCATGCACGCGTCACAGAACAACACAGGACATGTTTAGGGTTTTGCATAGCACACAAAACTAAACCAAGGGCAATTAAAACCCTAATGCAACACAACACAACACAATACAATGTAATACAACGCAATGCAACACAATACAAACTGTGCTGTAATAGGCGTTGGTTCAAGAGGTTAAGTCGTAGTCTCATGAGCACGTTAAGGGCTGTGGTGTTGTCATTCGTATGATTCATTTGTATGATTCATTCGTCTGCTGACTAATGTATTGACCCACTTGTCAATTGCCTTTGCCACTGCCAATGGTGGTGCAGGACTCCGTTCCAACGGGTATTGGGGTGGATTATGGGTTGGGCCATAACAAGGGTGGCGTGGGCATTTCTTTCGGCCTATATGGCAAGCGCTACTGCTTCATCAACAGCCATCTGGTATGTATTATCTCAGCCGTGTCATAGTGAGTGTGTGGACGAATTTCAGTGTGTGTGTTAGTTGCTGTGTTATGTTCCTATCGCGTGTGTGTGTGTGTGGTGTAGTTGTGTTATGTTTCTGTCGTGTGTGTGTGTGGTGTATATGTTTGTTGTTGTGTGTGTGGTGTAGTTGTGTTATGTTTCTGTCGTGTTGTGTGTGGTGTATATGTTGTTGTTGTGTGTGTGTGTGTGTGTGTGTGTGTTAGTGTGGCATTGTCTTACACTTGTTTCTG